GGAATAAATAATAAACACGACACAGCCACTTAGGTTTCACTGAATATTCTGAGTTGGAAGGGACCCCCAAGGATCATCAAGTCCAACTCTTTAGTGAATGGCCCATACAGGGATCAAACCCTTGGCATTAACAGTCCCATCCTCTGACCAGCTGAGCTAATTTCTCATAGGTTTGCTTCATACAAGCATCCTGCCAAAGGAGATTCACTAGCACATTTGTGAATAGCTCATTGAAAGCTTGGGCTGAGCTCTCATGTCAAGGATTAGCTGTCTTGTTTCTGCTTCAGTAACTTCTTTATCTTCTCTATCTGATATGGTTCTGGTGTACACAGGTTCTAAATCACAGCAAGACATTGCTTAACACATCAGCAGACCCAAAGCTCTCACCACAGATCTGGAATAGGAGGGGGATGTGAGCCACACCAGGATTTGATGAATTGATGATTAAGACTTGTCTTAACTCCTGATTAAGACACTGACCTTGTTGTAGGTATCTCTCTTAGGCATTAGGATATTTAATCATGGCTTTGCTTCTGTAGAGGCAGTTTTTGCTATTCTGGTTCATACACACTGGTTTGCCCTGTGAGCAGTCCTGCTGATTTTTGTGGAGCCACTCAAGGAAAAGGTACTGGGTGGAATAAGGCTGGCAGGTAAAAGTCATCCAGTTATTACATGAACAGGTACTCCCTGTGGTAAACAAAACACTGCTTACATCTGTCATAGATTTTGTCATCAATGTGGCAAAAGAGATGAAAATATTAAATCTGGAATTAGGTATTTTAAGTTTTGCAAAGTGTTTTTTCAATATCAATTCTCAAAAATTGGAGAAATTTTTCTTGAACTTTATTTCCCAGAGTTTCAATGGATTTGTGATATTTCAAGGTTTAAAAAAATCACATGAAATGGACTTATGGCTCCAGCACAATTTTCTACATAAATTTTCTTCAAATTACAGCTTATTCCCTTTCAAATTTTCTAATCAATAAGACTGAAAATTTTCCATTCTAGGTATCCACAAAACCTTCAGTTTAAAATGAACACAGAAGGAAATATTTTTGGGGTTTTTTTGTTTTTTTTTTCTCACAATAAACTATTCCAGAAAAGCCTTTCACAAGAAGCTCTTATTTTTCAGGGCTCTGAAGGAAGATACTGGGATTTCTCGGGGAGGGACAGTGATGCTGATGTCACATACAAATATGTGATATCACCTTGAGCCAGTTCTTCTGGACATCCTTTTTACTCCCTTGGTAACAGTATTACTTTTTTTCCTTGTATTGCTTTATGTTATATTTCACAATGTCTTTTACCTTTCAAATTAAACTGTGACCAGAAACATATACATAGCACTGGAAATTAGATGTGAAAGAACTTCAGACCCTTCCCACTGTTACAAACAATTTTGATCAATTTCCCTAGCACAGTTCATACTCTACAATATCTTATATTATTAATACTATTAGTGTTAGTTATTTGTATGTATTATATTATGGCATTTTTTCACTTAAGGTATGCTAAGGTATGCTTCTAAAGACCTTTTACCATTTCATTTGGTTTCTGGGTGAGACCAAGAGTAACCAGGAGAAATCTCAGTGCAACCAGGTTTTCTTTTAAAAGAGGCAACTTGAAAACAATGCAGTTGTATTTTTCTTACTGATTATTCTCAAACCTGGCTGAACACAATCCATGATCAGCTGGCTGCCTGTGGGTGACTTCCTCAGTTATTCTCCAAATAATACACCTGTATTATACTTGGGCAAATAATTTCAAAACCAGCAACTGATTATGTTTTTCTCAGCTCTGGCTGAACTGAGTTTGTTCTTAGGTGATTGCTTAATATGTAATGAAAATATGGTGCCTTGATAAATCACACAGAAAATCAGAAAATAAACCAAGCTGCGTCATGCAAAACCATTAAACACTCGCAGAAAGCTTGGCCTCAAGTCCCAAAGCTGTTCTTAAATTACCATGTTACTCCTGCACAAGAAAGGGAAGACTGGAGGCATAAAAAGTGGGACTTCCTTTCTAGAGGGAAATTTGTAACCTGCCATAGACCAGCATAAGCCTATGTGAGATGTGTCCCTCATCTGACACCCATCAGACCAGGCATCCCGAATCTCTGTCCCCAGCACCCCCAGCATGTCCCAAATGGCCTGTCTTAGTGGGTCTGTTAGTTAGGAGTAAGAGAGAGATACATGGTCCTGCATAACCAGAGCACTGCAGAGGAGAAAGTAAACTACAGGATAAATCCACAGATTTGCACTGATGTTCCTCATGCCAGCATTTCAATTTCCTTTTTAAAACATGAATGAAGACACAAATGCACTGGAAAGGCCAAAAGGACTGTAGCTCCATCTGTCTTTCCCAGCCAGTTACTAACCCAGTGGCCAGTCTGCAGAACCACTCATCTGACTGGAGAAGCAAGGGGTTCCACCATTATCTGGGTAGCTGCAGCCACCCCAGTTTCACCATTCCCACAGAGCTGGGCTGGTTTCCACCCTGCCAGTCTCTAGTCCAAATCAGAAAGTGCTGTTCAGAAAGTCAGGAAGACTGGGCTAAAGGTGAGGGGAAAAGGATTGAAACTGGGAGTCAGATTAGGGGTACAAGCCCTGGGCTTGCCAAGTGAGACATAGGAAGCAGCAAGACTGGAAAAGCAGAGGTTCAAGTTTGTAACAAACAAATAATGAAGTAGATTAGAAGATATGTTGTTTTTTTAACTCTGCCCATGCTGCCCCCCTTGGAGAGGGAATAATGGATAAATGTGTTAAGAGTGTATAACAGTTTGTATGCATAAAGAACTCAAAGTATATCATACTGTATGTATAACAGACACATATATGTATAATATGTATATGAGTATGCATCATATACATGCAGTAATCTCTGCAAAATTAATACAAAAAAAAATGTGCCCTGTGTCTCTTCAAATGTGTGTGGCCTTTATTAGGTCAATTTTAATGATCCTGAGTATTTAAAAATGTAAAGAAGTAAAAACTACAAATGTGTGGAAATTCAAAAGGCTCATGGCACACAGATATGCATACCTTGATATTCAGAATGCATATGTAGCAGCATAGTACAGGCATTTTTAAAGAGCCAGATCATTCCTTCTGCTTTTTACAACAAAAGTTTAGAAAGTACTAACATAAAGTTAAAAATGGAAAGGCTATAAGTATATATTGTTTTAGTTGTTTTGTCTTCTGGGAATTTCTGATGCTGAAATTCTGATGGAATTTTGTCGTCTCTGGTCATTCATGCTTAGAGACACAAGCAACTTCAACTTGGTTTTCTGTCATCCTTGCTCCAGCAAGAGTCTTTTAGCTCAATTGTGGCATCAATCACTTGGACTATAAATCTCTGCAATGGATATGGCCATTTAAATCTCCACCTGCACAAACAACAATCAGGCCTAGAAAATAAGGAGACTCATAAATCTCCACACTGGTGATTATTGATATTTTGGACTTGCAACTGCAATGTTACTTAAAAAAAAAAGTAATTCATTAATTAGGACTGATATGCTGACAATCTGTTTAGTTTAGCTTATAAACAGAGAAAACACACACAAGGCACAGTTAACACAACACAAATTTAGAAGTTAGTGAATTCTCAAGAGCCTAGGGCTTGGAGATACGATATCTTAATGTATTTATCCTATTGTGAGTGGGAAGGTGTTATCTTCCAGACAAATGATAAAGAGGTGGTTTAAAGTTTAGATCTACTGTTTTTTCTTCTGGCTTACATGAGCCAAAGAAGAAAGATGGATCAAGAGATAGGCAAGACTTCCTTGCTGGCTATTAAAAATGACACTCTGCCTCCTACTGAAAATGTAATCTGCAGACAGTACACAGCACTCGACAGACATACCAGCTTGGCTCTTCACAGTTTTTGTTGGGTTTTTTAGTGCATTCAGAAAACTCTATGTGGTGCTTACACAGATCAGCAAGAGACTTTTCCTGTGGCTGCAGTGACTTTGGATTAACTATGAAACCACTGGTGACATCTGAGGCTGCATATTTTTTTCTGGAGCTATGTGAATCCTCAGATAAGCGAATAAGTGGAATTGATCCTGCAATAAGAGCAGTCCCTGTGTGCAGTTCTTTAGCCCCTTGTGTTCAAAATCCCAACTGCAGGGCAACCTGTGAGGTTTCAGGAAGAGTGTGAGTAGGGAAGGAGCTATGGGAGCAACTTCCTGATTCACTGGCCTCTTTGGGCTCCAAATGTGGATTTAGGAGACTATTTTACATGGAGGGGAAGAAGTGATAGCACAAAGTTAACTGTTTTCAAAAGCCTGCCCTGCTCAGACTGAATACACAAGTGCATAAGTTTGTAACATCAGCATAAGTCTGTTCATTCAAACTACACAGCAACCAGTCACTCACACTTGTGGCAAAACCACTGGGAATGTTTGGCTTCAGGGGTTGCAGAGCCCAGCCTAATGCCCTCAGTCGCACAGGAGGGGCCTTATCCCTTATCTTGCTTCTTCATTCAGGCAAAACCCCTGACTTTTGAGCATGCACGAATCAGCAGACAAAACAGTCCACGGGTATGGAGGAATGAACCACTGACAACTGCTCAGCAAACCCAGTAAAGGTTTCTCTTCTGTGGGAACTCTACCATCCAATAACCCCCCACCCCCACCCCGTTTCCTTCACTTCATGCACACCCTTGCTGCCCTAGCCACAGCCACAAAGACCCTCCCCAGCAGAACAACACTCTCCCTCGGCTCAGTGGGGCTCACAGAGTGCTGGGATCTTGGCCGCTTGGCACACCTGTGGATCAGGAAGCCTCCGCAACATTCACAGCTGGGAGGACTCAGAGACCGACAGGGACCGGGACATGTCGGACGTCACCCCGGAAGGCTGGAAGAAGTCAGATCCTCCTGCCTCCAGCCCCTGGGCTGTGACGGCAAGGTCCACGCTGCTGGCCAGGCAGCGGAGCACTCCCTTCCTGGAATATGCAACTAGCTGGACAGGATGCGTTCGCAAATATAATCATCCACAAATCTCCCCCAGATTAGGTTACAGGACAGCGTTTCGACGGCACGCATTACAAAGCTCCCTGGAAGGCTTGGCTGGTGGATCTGCTGCTCTCTCTGCTCATGACCCATTTTGGCTTTCATCAAGAATCATGACACCAGCTGCCTGGGTCATCTAGGAGGCAGAGAGGGGGAGAGCAACCCTGGGCTGTAAAGGGAAGTGGGGAAGGAAAAGAGAAGGAGGAGAAGGAGAAAGGAGGAGGAGGAAGAAGGGGGAGGATAGAAAGACAGAGCACAGGGAGAGTAAGTAAGTTGTTTTAGTCCAGTTGTGAAGATTTGAATCCCAGTTCCGTGCTCTCGGCAAAGGCTTGCTGGGATACTTCATTCCCTGTCCTGTGCAAAGGTCTGTGATTGGGGATGTGGTGTGCTCAGTGGGCAGGGCCCCTCCCCTGGGCTGGATCCGCCTCTCTTATCCCCCAGATAAATTACTAGTGTCCTCACTAAATTCCTCGGCTTTCTCTCTCCCTCTCTCTCTCCCTCTCTCACACAATCTCACTCCCTCCCTCAAACACAGGCAAAGCGGGGTTGGGGGGCGGGACGGCGGGGATCCTCTCTGGACTGGTATTGTGCCTTAGTCCTGGGCGGGGAGGGAAGGGGAGGAAAATACTGGCGCCCCTTCTCTCCTACGCTGCCTTGAAACAGATTTGAGGAGCTGCCCTTCTTCCCCCCCTCCCCCCTTTCCTGCTGGTCGTTTGGCATCTTCCAGACCATGTCCACTGGGTCCCTCAGTGATGTGGAAGATCTGCAGGAGGTGGAGATGCTGGAGTGCGATGGCCTGAAAATGGATACTAACAAAGAGTTTGGGGCGTCCACCGAGAGCAACGAGGAGGGATCCAATGGCGAGAATGGCTCCCCTCAGAAGGGGAGAGGGGCCTCGGGCAAGAGGAAAAAAGCTCCCCCCAAGAAGAGCCCTTTAAATGGAGTGAGCCAGGAGGGAAAGCAGGTACAGAGAAATGCTGCCAACGCCAGAGAGAGGGCGAGGATGAGGGTCCTTAGCAAAGCCTTCTCCAGGCTTAAGACCACCCTACCCTGGGTGCCCCCAGACACCAAACTTTCCAAACTGGACACCTTGAGGTTGGCCTCCAGCTACATCGCTCACCTGAGGCAGATCCTGGCCAATGACAAGTATGAGAACGGCTACATCCACCCAGTCAACTTGGTAAGTCAGAGTCCGCCGAGGACAGGCACTCCGTGCGTGTGCGTGGGGAGAGGTGGGCGAGGGGCTGGCATGGGGCATGTGCGGGGACAAAACTTTGCTGTGCTTCTCACAGAGAGCCTGCTGCCACTGGGGTGGAAATCGGTGCTGTACAAGGGGACAGGCTCCCTGTGCCCTGAGCACCAAGCCTCCTAGGCCCCCTCTGCTGCTCCTAGCAATCCCTTCCAGGAGACAGGCAGCCACGCTGGCCACAAATAAGCAGGGGCAGGCTTTATACTTTACTGCCTGTGAAATGACTGAGAAACCACAGAGGCTTTCTACCTGCAAGCGGGCAGGTATAGGAATTTGGGTAGAAAAGGGTGTGTTTGAGGAAGGACCCAGGATTTATTCTTATCCTGTGTTTCTACCTCAGTGTTTCCTGACACAATACTGTCCCCAGGCCCTAACTTTTCAAATGCAGGATTCTTGGGGTTCTGTGCTCAACTGTTCAGGTTTGCTGCATCCAGGAAATTTATCCTATACCTGTAAACTGGCACAGGAGAAATAAATACCAATGCAGACTCCCCAGAGGAGGTGTCTGCCCCAGGCACACTCCACAATGCCTCTCCCTGGGCTGTGTGGTGTCCCTCCTGCTGCTCCCACCACATAAAATTTTCCCGAGCAGCCCTGGATCTCCTGACCATACCCGGCCGCCAGAAATATCCAGTTTCCAGCTCTAAAAATATACACAAATTATGTAAACCAGGGGTAAGCAAGATCTGCCTAGGCTCTTTTTAGACATACAGCCTTTATGCTGCCCACACGTGCAGACCCTGACTCATAAATGGATCACAGAGGGGAGCTGGGGACGTTTCACTGAGGTCAGACTGCCTTTTGAGCTCTGGACTCTGGGGAAAAGAACGTTACCCGCTCTGTCAGCTGCTAAGGGCCTGGGAGATAATTTTTGATTAAAAACAAAATCCTCAGCGCAACAACATAGGAAAAAAAAAAAACCAAAACCAGCACCCAATAGCTATAACCTCCCTCCCCTTCCGCACAGAGGCACACCAAAACATGCTCCCCGAGCCGCGGGAGACCAGGGAGAGCGGCCGGGGCGCTGCCGGGGCCCCAGGCAGCTCCTGTGCCCGGGGTAGCGGCGAGGCGTGAGGAGGCTCCCGCGGCTCGGAGCCCCCACGCCCGTCTCGACCAAAGCCGAGGGGTGCCCGCGGCGATTGTACCGGGGGCATGCGAATGTGCCGCAGCCGGGCGGCTCCTTTCTCCCTCCCTTCTGGGAGGGAGAAAGCCGTCCCGAGGATGCCCGGTGGGACCACCGGGGCTGAGGCAAAGCGGCATCAGCCGCCGGGGAAAGGTAAAACGGTCCTTGCCGAAGCCAGCGGCAACTGCCCCGGCCTGAGCCCCGCTCTGGCTGCCCGAAGTGGACTCAGGTGGGGAATGCCGGGCTCGGTCCGCCCGGACGCTCCTGAGCCGGACCCGCTGTCGGTATGAGCGTTGCAATGTGCATTTCTCCATGTGTAACCCCCTTCCCACTCGTGTCTTTTCCTGGCTACAGACTTGGCCTTTTATGGTAGCCGGCAAACCCGAGAGTGACCTGAAAGAAGTGGTGAACACAAACCGCTTGTGCGGCCCGACGGCATCCTGAGCCCCGCGGCCGGGCCAGCAGCGTCCGTCCCGGCGCGGCCGTGGAGCGGGCGGCGGGGCGGGCAGGGACCCGCCGCGGCCCCGCCGCTGCCCCGGGCCCCGGCAGAGCCACGGGGAGAGCCGCTCTCCCGGCGCAGAGGAGACCAAATATGCCCTAGGAAAGACTCCATCCACCCCGAGAGATCCTGACTCTATTTAACTTTATTAAATGCGTGTACAGTCGAGTGTCCTGCAACCACAGCCTTGCTGGTTCAAGAGCTACTAGAGAAAAGACAGAGATCAAACAAAACCTACCCCGCGTGTATCTTTTGTCTGAGACCTGTGAAATATGTAGATGCCTAGAAAAACTGACTTTGACAGTCATCTCTATGAAGTAATTCACCCTAAAGATATATAGATATATTTTCTTCAAGCAGATTCTGCTCTATTTCTGTGAATAAACCTTCCTTTCTACTGAACACGGCGCGGTGTTAAGTGTTCGTTTGAGACTCTCGGGCTCGGCGGGGGAAGGACCGAGCCTCCGCCGGCTCCGCCGCTCCACGAAGCGGCCGCGCTGCGGGGATCCCGTCCCTCCGCCCCGGGCCACAGGAGGTCTGCTTCCCCGGAGCTATAGACCTGGAGCACACTCCTGGGGGAGGGGGAGACCGGGTCCGCAGCTCGCCGCGGGAGCCCGGCCCGGCTCCGCAGCCCGGCGCCCGGGCGCTGCGGGAGCCGCCCCCGCCGCTCCGGCCGCTCCGCTCCGCGGGGACAGGAACAGTGATCTATTGATGAAGTACAGTCGGTCCTCAGCGCCGGGAATTTTTAACTTAAACATCTCCTCTCTATCGATCAGCGCACCCGTGGGAGATGGGGCTGAGATAAACAGGAGTGCGGGGCGCTCCCCCTGCACCGGCAGCGGCCGCCGGCAGCTGATGCGCCAGATCCCACCGCGCTGTTTAATGTTTCAGGGTTATGACCGCACTGTTTACAAGATGTCTTCGGTTATTTATACTGTTATTATTAGCACAGGGGCTTTAAATTTCCGCCTCACTTGCTCTTTCAATACCAGCCCTCGGTTCCGTTTGATACCTGGGTACTTTCTTGCCGAAAGCGGGAGAGGGGCAGCAGGGGCTGCAGGGCCGTCCCCCGGACCAAGCCGGCTCTCCGTCCCTGCTAGTTGCGGGGGCCGGCGGCAGGACCCGGGGCGCGGTCACAGGCAGCGAGGGGGCCACAGACCCTCCCGGGGGCTCCTTCCCCGGGGTATCCCCCGCAGGCCGGTGTTGAGCTGCCTCGGGCATCCGTGCAGCCTGGATTGTGTTAATTCTCATCCCCCACTTTCCCCCGAGATAACTGGACGAGGTGGCGCGTCCTCCAGGCGACCCAAATTCACCAGTCGGGTTCATGCGTGGGCTAGGTTAGCTTTAATTAAAGCAACTCGCTGTGAACCGAGGACTGTGCAAACATCTCAACCCTCATTATGAAAAGGGCCAGGACCTGCTGTATCATCCTAATGGTTCTGAAGGGGAGAGCTGTTTAATTTCACTTTTGTGCAGCTTTATCCCTATGGCACACAATTAAGAGCAGACATCTGTGCCTGGCCTCACCGTGCGCAACCTCACTGTTGTGGAGAGGACTGCGCCAGGTGAGACGTGCACTTACACACAGGGCCTTGACCGACCTTGCGGCCACACACAGACCCTGGACAGCCACAGCTTTTGCTGAAGAGACAAGCAGCTCTGATAACCACGGCTGTACAGGCTGATTTGCTGATTTCTTTGCCACAGGCACTGGGAAATTCAGTGGGAATTGCTGGTCTATTTAGGGGAGACAGAATAGAGCCCCTGGCCTTAAGCTGAGTGCAGGTGACTGATACAGCAAACACACAATTTAACCTCTAAATTTACTCACTGAATTGACACTAACTATTGGATTTAACCACTCAAAATCTCAATTTAAATCCATAGTAACTACTAACTGGTCAAGATTCATAGCAAGGTGCTGATTTCCTTCTAAAAAGCAGAAATTGATACACATCTGAGATGCGCATAAAATTGAGTTAAATTCTGAATATTTTAACACACGCTTCTTTACCACCCTGTCTTGCAATTCTTGCTAACTGCACTCAGCACCTTCCTAGCTAATTAACCATGTGCAGTGTTCATTCGCCACCTGAAATGCAACACTGAAGAAAGGGAAGGGAGGAATATAGTGGTACCCCATCAAAAGTGAGGAAGACAGCTGCAAGCATGTGCCAAAAGCTGCAGGAACAGTAAGTGCTGAAGATGCTTACTGTGTACATGCCAGCAGCAGACACCATTGCTTCTCGTACTGCTGGTTTCTTTATCTAGCAGTCTACATTGCAATTTTCTTGGGGACTAAACTATTCCTCGAGCACCCTGCACCTCCTCAGCCCTTGCCTCTGAGCAACAGTTCAGCAACAAGGAAACAAAAAGCAACAAGAAATGAACAAAAGCAGCCAGCAGCACACAGAAAGGTAAATAATTACTTTACTCTGACTGTAAAACAATTAGTGGCTTTATCTCAATTTTGAAGACAATGAACATATTTTCCAGAGTCATTTATGTGGCTGGGAACTCCTAGTCCACTGACCTCTTGTGTTAAGGGCACAGACCCGACAGTAATGGCACAGTGCTGGCAGCTGGCTTCAACAGCCCAAGTTTCATAGATGAATTAAGAGTTCTACTACGCACTTCAAGAGAACAATGAATGAAATTATTCTACCCTGCTGCTGAGTGCAATTTTACCGCAAAATATTTGCAAACAGAAAATGTATGTTTAGTCTGACTGAAGCAATTTATACTTTTGAAAGGAACTTGCAAATGTGCTAAGGAAAAGAAGGAACAGGCTTAAATATTGATGTCAGTGACCTTAAAGAAAATATTTTGTTTGCTTTTTTTGCTTTTCTGTACAAAGTGATGCATTTTATTATTTACCAAAATATACTTATATCCCTTTTTCATGTGGAAAAAAAAGTTGACTTGGTTTATCTTTTTGTATCTACAGGGATGTAGATGCAGCTGTGTGAGTGTCTGTATACATTCCTTCCTAGTAATGTTTGAACTCATTGCCTGATTTCAGCTAGATTTGACAGAGGTCTCAAAGATAACTAAGTTACTATAATTTTTAATATTTCTTTGTGTGTGTGAAAACAGGCAGCTGAGTAAAGAAAAAGTCTATAAATTTTACAGCTGAAGGCAGGGTTTCAACATGAGCTCAGCCTTTATTGGCTACAAGAGCATATAGAGCAGTGTCAGCTGTAGATGAAGCTCCAAATGCTGTTTCAGTCACAGGACATAAGTTCATAGAAAACTTGCTTATGGACGTGCGTATTTTAAGACAAGAACTTTATAAAAGCTGTTTAGTTCCATTTGATTTTAGTATTTGTTTCTTTGTTTCTTTGTAAAGAAACCGGTTTCAACCCAGCTACTTCATGGGTTCATAGAAAACTTGCTTATGGACATACATATTTTAAGACAAGAACTTTATAAAAGCTGTTTAGTTCCATTTGATTTTAATATTAGTATTTTTTTCTTTGTTTCTTTGCAAAGAAACCGGTTTCAACCCAGCTACTTCATGACCATTTTTCAATTCAGCTAGAGACTAGCAAAGCCTTTATTTGCAGTGCGGACTCAGTGCTCAGGCTCCTGGGTTTGGTACTGACATTGTGCTCCTTCGCGGAAGCTTTCACAGTCTCTAAGGTCTTACAGAAAATACCTTTTAGGCTTATCTTATTCTCCCACTGGGATGGAAATCTGCCAGCCTGAAGCATCAGCATAGCAAGAAACTCACTTTGCAGACACCTGCAAAATGCCGGGCTGCTCTGGGTGCTGACTGGGGCAGTGAGGCCACAGTGCTGGTCGTGCCCCCAAACGTCAAGGTGCATCAGGAGCACATGTGCAAGATAGCCTATTTCTTAAAGTGACTCCGAGGTCAAAATTCCCAGCTCACCTCAGAAAATAAGACACAGAAAATCTGTGTGGTTTCTTCTGTAGGGAAGTGGTTTGAATCCTAGACATAATGATAAGATCACAAGCACAGCTTTGCTTGACATATTTGTATTTGCAACCCCTCAGCTGTGTCTGCCTGAAAAAAGCTTGTTTCCTTTTAACAAATCACATATATTTTTCAAAAGGCAATTTTTGCCAAAACCCTTTTGTCTTTTCCTCTCATTATAATTTTTAGTTAAAAAATTTAAAATATGCAAAATACATTGGCTAATTGCAGGTTATAAACTTCCTAAATGAGAACAAAACTTACACATATCTGGTGGAGTGGAGGGTATAATCTGATAAAATTGACGGATATTTTAATTTTTGCCTGGATATCTGAATGCAGATTAGGCTCCCAAAAGGGACAGGATTACAAAAGAAATTTCAATTACATTGACAAAATTTTTATTTCAATGAAATTGAAGCTTGTAGCAGCAAACAACCAAGCATTCTGTAATTCCTATGTATATACACACCTGGAAAATCCTCCATACAGAATTTCTTCAACAGTCAGATTCAAATTGTTTGTGTTCATTGCTGGCCCATGTAGCACTGACTATTCCCATATTAAGGCTGTGCTATCAAATGCAGGCCCACAGGCTAAATACCATCTTGTGCTCACTATTCAGCCACAGGTTGTTTCATGCTCTTCAGCCCAGCATAGTTCATGGATGGGAAGTGGCACAACTAGAAATAATGGCACTTTTCTGTTGCTAGTGCTGCAAAGCTACTGATGTGTTATGGCTTAGGGAATTTCTGCAATTCTGAGATGCCATAGGTCTGACCTAAGTTATGCTCTGAGAATTTATGCTCCAAGGATAGGGAAAATCCATGTGTTACCTTTGGGAGGACCATTGCCAGAAGACTGTGAAACCAGCAAAATTCTGCAAGTAACTGGTTTCAGTTTAGACACTGGTGTCTCCGAGTATAAAACTGATGTTGAATAGGTCCAGGCATGGAAGTCATCCCATTTCCCAAATGCAGCACGGACATACCCTAGGGTCACAACAGTCCAGGGATGACGCATTTTCTTGCCTTAGGGTTTTGCCCTTAAACTGAAACTTGTAAACAGATGAAACGCGTTTTTAAGCCAACGCGCATGCGTGCACTGTTACACCATCCTCAAAGCCTCCTTGCAAGGAAAAAAAAGATCATAACAAAAGCAAGAAAATAAAAACCAGTGCAAATCCTTCCTTCACTTTAAAATTTAAGAGGTCCTTCTCTTTGAGCAAAGAAAAAACCCCAATCCTTATTTAGACCTCAGGCTGTTGTGTAAACTATTAGACCATATCCAACTGTAAATATGGATTATCTACAGTCTTGAGTTTTCTCTCGGTTGTTTACAAGTTGTTTAAGAAACAAGGATCAGAAACACTAGGGAAAGAAAGCAAGGGTATAGCTACACAGCTAGGAGACACAAAGAAAGGGAGAAAAAGGCATAGAATGATTCCTCTTCCTCT